TGTTGTTGTTGTTATTCTTCTTTTTGTGGTGCGCAGCTGCTCAGCTTTTTGTTGTATTTTTCTACATTTTGGTTTGTTTACATTCTTGCGATTTTAGAGTTTGGCATTGTTTACATTTTTTTTAACCACAGTAACAATGAATATAGATTTGATTCTCTGGTGTTACACTTTGATCGGATAAACTAAACGCTTGAGGAACCCTCTTGGAGTTCTTTGTAACATGTTGTCATAGTTCTTTAGTCTTTGAGATAACTCTTCGCGTTCTCTGTCTGTCTTGTCATTTAGCTGTGTGAGTTCTTCCCATGTTTCTTGTCTTCTGCTCTTTATCACTTTAGCTGTCTTGTACTCTCTCAATGGCGAAAGAATAAGAACACCAGCTAAGAACATCATGGCTGCGAAGATCTGACTTGAGTGGTATGGGTTAGAAAGTGAGTAGTCACGAAGTGCCAGGGCAATGGGCTCTGAAAATACTGCAAAGATCCCCACCATGAGATTCAGAGTTGCCCAGGCACATCCAAATTCACTTGGTTCGAAAGCATCAGCGGTGAGAACGGGGTTCATAACGTTTCCAGCACCGAGGAAAAGACCAAGCAGTATACCACAGACCATAAGTGCAGCAAATGAATGACACTGCATCCAGAATGCAAGGATCAAAACCATGGTTGTCATGTTGAGTATGATGGTATAGTTGATGCGACCAACCCATTTATCCGCAACGACTCCAATCAGTGGACGTCCAACGGTCTGAGCAGCGTTAATAACTGCGGTCAAGTCAGAAGCTTGTTTCTGAGAATATCCTAGGGCCCTAGCAGCAGATGCATACGAGAACAAAGTGATAGTGTAGCCAACCAACGAGATCGCAAACCAGAACGACACGTACCAAAGTTTCTTAGTCTTGAAAACCTGTGGATTAAACATGGCCTTTCTTGCCTTGTTGAGAGTTTTCAGTTTGAACTTGGGGTCCATTGGAGGTGTCCTCTTTCTGATAAATATTACACCAATTATCATACAAAATGCTGTTGAGATTCCAACAAATCTTAGAGACCAACGCTGGTTTCCAGTTGCCTTTATCATTGCATTCACCGTCAATGAATAGAATAAACCACCCAGACCTGTGCCAGTACACACCAGCCCTGACGCCAGTGCCCTTCTTTTCAAAAACCACTCAGGAACCACCGTCAATGCGGGAACACAGATCAAAGTGTATGCTGACCCAACAAGAACACCTTGACAAACATACAAGTGCCAGAGTTTTGTCGCAAACGATGCCAGAATGTACCCCGACGTGTGCAACACTATTGCTAGGGACATGGTCATCTTAAATCCAATAAACCTCTCCAATATCAAGGCCACCGGGGAGAGAATCTGTCCCATGCACACAAGTATACCGGCAACCCACGCAAAGTCCATAGCAGATGCTCCAGGGAATATATCATTATCGAGATAATAAGAAAGATAAACACCAAAGGCACTGTTACTGCCCCAGGTCGAGAAGAGGATGATTCCAGCACAGAAACAACAGACCCATCCATATCCACCATCAGGCGGTAATTCAAGCTTACCAGTCACAGACGTGAACACCCTGGTCACCGTATCCTGGTCCACGCTCTTCGCGTGTGAATGAACACTCACACCGTCTTCATCTTTCGCAGGTGTCTCACTATTAGTCATCACCTTCATAGCATCATCGACTGTAAACTCCCTTCGAAGCACTGCTTCCAGATCTGCATTAACCCGCTCCTGGTCCAGCGCCTCATTGTCTGTAGCGATTTGCCTCAGAATCGTACTTACCCTTCTTATCCGTGTTGGCGGTATGTATTCCTCGTGAGAGTGTAATCCGCGGACCTCATTGTTCTCGCTACTGTCAGAACTGTCCGTCGAAAGTGAGTGGAGACTCGAGCCACTCGATGATGTCCTACTTAAGGACTCGGCACGATGGTCTGTTGATACCTTCATTTAGCACTTTCTATGCAACGGCTTCCCATTCAATACTTGACAATCAACAATAACAAACACGTATGGATAAACAGCCAAACGAAGGGGCAAGTGTCCTTTTCTGATGGTGGAGGCTTCCACCGAGTAATATACCGCCTGTACAAAGTATGACACACACAAAGAGAGAAAAATGTTCGGCGGGATTCCACGCCCGCCCACTTTGTCGGAGTTATCTCGCATGCTGCACGGAGTGCGTTTTCCAAACGTAGCCTGGCGGAGCTTGGCCAGCTTTCGGATGCGGAATGAGATAGCGAGTGTGGCGCTCATGAGAAGACAAATGGACAAGAAGGTGTTTAATTCCGTGAAAGTGGACCAGTGCAACCTCTCTAGGAGAGATCATCAGTGCTTGGACATGGATATGGTGCGTCGAGTAGAATGTCCTGGTCGTGTAGTGGCTCCGTAGAGTGGCCAGCTTGGAGGAAGAGGAGCTACACTAAGACAATGTCCCTCCACCAAGACAGCAGGGCACTTTGATGCTTCTCCTTCCTAATGAATCTGTAGGTGTAGAGCAGGACGATTGGAGATTGATTAAAACGTTATATAAAACACATATTGTCGAGTCACTGCATGAGATGCTCGTTAAGCTCAACATCGCTCTGTGCACGATTCTTTCTAGAAAGCCCTCTAAGCCTATCAATGAGGGACGGTTTGCGGTTGGCCTTTCTAGCTCCACTTTCAACATCAAACACCTCGTCATCATCGGTGAGTCCGTATTTGCTGATGTCTGGAGCCTTCCACCTCTTCAAAAACAATGAACTGATAACCACGCTCACAGAACTCAACGCCATAGAAAGACCGGCCACCAAAGGACTAACCTGGACACCCCATGGAATCAACACACCCATCGCCAGGGGAACCATGGTTAGGTTATATACGGATGACCAGAAGAAATTCCATTTGATCTTCTTTAAGGTACGCACGGAGAGCGAGAGGGCAGAAGCAACGCCAGCTAGTTTGGTATGGTTGTTCAACACAACAATGTCAGCTGCCTCAATGGCAATGTCACTTCCCGAGGCAATGGCAATCCCCAGGTCAGCGGAGGCCAGAGCTGGTGAATCGTTGATACCATCACCGACAAACGCCACTTTATACCCTTTATCTTTGAAGTCACGCACCAATCGCTCCTTCCCTGCCGGTGAAATCTCTGCAAATACATTGCGCAGAGGGATACCAGCCTGTTGGGCAATCTTGTTGGCAGCCTTCTGGAGATCTCCGGTAACCATTGCAACTTCAAATCCTTTCTTCTTGAGATAAGTAACAACAGATGCAGAGTCTTCTTTGATAACATCTTGCAGCTCAAGATAACCTTCATATTTGTTGTTGATCATCACATGAGCCAATGTGGCATCTGAGTTGATTTCCAGAGAAGAGAAAATAGGATCTGATGCGAGGATATCCTTTGGGAAAAGTTTAAGGTTGCCCACTTGGACATCGTACTCAACACCATTTACACTCACATTTGCCTTAAGACCTTGTCCAACTTTGACTTCAAAATTCTGCACCTCCTCCTCGAATGAATCAACATTCAGAGCCGACATCGAATTCGCAGTTATAGCATGTCCAATTGGATGTTCACTCTTACTCTCAAGTGCTCCTATCAGACGAAGGACGAGGTTTCGGTCTAACTCACCAAGCAGGTTAATCTGACGTACAGTCATCTTACCCAAAGTAAGCGTTCCTGTCTTGTCAAATAGAACAACATCAATGTCATTGGCGATTTCAATCACATCGCCTCCTTTCAGTAGAATACCATTAGATGCCCCGACACCAGTTCCAACCATGATTGCAGTTGGCGCAGCGAGACCCAGGGCACAAGGGCAGGCAACGACGATGACAGAGATGGCAATCTTCATACATATGTATAGTTGACCATTCACGTCATTAAATATCGTTGGCTTATTCGTTAACACATCGCAAAGAATAAACCAAGTGATGAATGTCACGACAGAAAGGATCAAAATTGTTGGGACGAATATCGATGCGACGTAGTCTGCATATGATTGAATTGGTGCACGGCTCATCTGTGCAGACTTCACAAGTTTGATTATCTTTGCCAGCTGTGAGTTTTCCGACGTTGTTGAGACCTTAACGTAAATGTGTCCAACTCCGTTGATCGAACCACCAATAACGTTATCGTTAACATCCTTTGGTACTGGAACAGACTCACCTGTCAACAAAGATTCATCCACTTCAGAAGAGCCAAAGAGAATATACCCATCAGCTGGAATCTTTTCACCTGGCTTCACGTCAACAATGTCATTGATTTGGAGATAATTAGTTGGGATTGAAATGGTTTTACCGGCAACACCAGTTTCCGCATCAAATTTCTCGGGGTTTTCAACAATGACACAGTCAGTTGAAGTCAAGCTTATCAATCTAGACAATGCAGAAGATGTTTCAGACTTAGCCCTAGACTCCAACCACTTTCCCAACGAGACAAAGTTCATTAACAACACCGCAGTTTCAAAAAGAGTATGTGGTGACGATTCGGTTTCATTGTTGATCACGCCGAGTATCATAGTGAATATTGAAAAGTAGTATGAAATATTCGTAGAGATGCAGACCAATGTATCCATAGTACCGGAGCCGTGTTTAAAAGAGTTTACCGCATTTCTCCAAAAGAACACTCCGACGGTGAATTGGATGTAGGTACATGCAATTAGTTGAATCACAGACTCCAAATACAATCCATGGAATAACTCAAGAGAGACATTCACACCAAAGGGTTCAAGAATGTGGTAAATGATGAATATTGGGAATCCAACGAGGGCTGTCTTGATGAAATTTCTCTTCCAAAAGGCTATTTCTTTGAGTTTGTTCAAGTTTTCAATTTGAGAAGTGACGTTGAGGATATTCTGTGGTATAGCACTAATGCCCTCTTGGTTCATAGCCTTGATCAGGTCACGTACACCGGTCATTGACGAATCGTATGTTATTTCAACACACTTGTCGTTGACTAACTCAACTGAGACAAGTCCCTGAATTGAGTTCAAAGCATCGATATTGTCTGTCTTGTCGACATCGAACCTTGTCATTTCAACAAGGGGTAGTGTCTTTCCGCTCGAGGTTTCAAGCACCTCAGATTCGAATCCACAATCCTCTATGGCCTCGCAAAGCTTTAGAGGGTCCAGGGAGCGCAAATGCTTTACACTGGCCTGCTCAGTAACCAACGAGACATCAGCACTTATCACGTCTGGTATCTCATTGAGGACAGAGGTCACTGAGCTCGTACACGCACCACATGTCATGCCCTTCACTGATATGATCGTCACAACAGCGTCATCTCTTGGGGTGCCCCCTGTGGAAACAATCTCTGCATCAAATCCACAGTCTTCAATCTCTTCCTTGAGCTTCTCCGCTGAGACGTTTGATTCGTGCTCCACATTTGCCTCCTCAGTCATCAGACTCACCTCAGCCTTTACCACGCCTTCGAGCTGCTGCAATGCATTTGTAATCGAACTTGAACAATTCGAGCATGTCATCCCGGATATCTTCAGCTTCGTCAACAGACGTGGTTTCATAGCATCCTCTATCGCGGATATCACTCGCGCATCAAACCCGCAGCTTTCTATGTTCTCTCTGAGCTCCTCCGGTTTAATACTGTCATCATGGTGAACAACCGCCTCCTCCGTTATTAGAGAGACACTGGCATCTTCTACTCCATCAAGACTCAGAAGCTCATTTGTTATAGCGGATGAGCACGCTCCACACGTCATGCCTTCAACGCTCAGTGTCGTGATCATCTTCGCTTTCTACAAACAGATGACAGTCTTAACCCTCCCGTTTAGTCGTCGATGACAGCGTTCCTTTATGTTCCGGTTATCTGTTTGATCAGGAAGACTGCATATGAAAAAAATAAGACAAAATTAACAACAAAAAGCTGCTGTTGCCCCGGGTGCGTGAAGAAAAAAAAAAGACCCAATTTTTATAGCCAATCATAGAAGGGGAACTGAGCTAATTTTGACAAGCCACAGCACCCAATTGGCACGGGGTATTATAGCATTGGCAGGCTCTGAATGAGCATTTATTCTACAGAATGTGATATTGAGAGAAGCAAGTTACAGAGAAAGTGATTCATGGACTCTTTATCCTATACAGACAGGTGAGATGCTCTATAGCTTAGGCTTTTGTTGCTTGATCAAAACCTCAAAGATCTCAGTGGCCGCCTCCTCCAAGTAGAATCTCAAGGTCTTGGAGTCATTGCCGGACGAACGTCTTGTACAGACATTGATGTGCAAGAAGTCGTTGTTGACTTGGTAAGCCAGCCCCCAGCCAATAGGGTTGACTTCGCTCCAGCCGTAGGCATCGTGGTAGTTTGATGACAGTTGCGAAGTGGAGATGAGCCAAGTCGAGGAGTAGTTGAACAATGGGTCGGAGAACAATGGGTGCGGCTTCTCGCCATCCTTCAACTGGAACTTGAGACCGAGCAAGTGACGGTCACAACCTTCACCGTTAGATGCTGCTCTGATGTACTCCATGTGGGACTTGACAGCCTCTTGGAAATCAGCAGCTCTTTGAGCATCAGAGACAGATGGGTTCTCCCAGTTTTGAACAAATCTGAGAGACTCCTCAGAGACAGAACGAGTAGCTTCGGTACGACCACCGTAGAACTTTCTGGTAGATGCAGCCTCATAAGTTGGCCAAACAGTACCGGACATCTTGTAGAAACCCAATTGGATGATCATTTGGATAAAAGCATCTGGCGACGTCTTGAATTGTTTGATCTGGTTCTTACCGTACTTGTTGTAGTGGAACACAGACACATCGTGGTTGTCAATCTCACTCTTGAAGTTTGCCTTTGCATCTGCAATTGCACTCTCAACAACTGGAGAAACCTCGAATCTCAAGTGCCTGGCTTCAACAGAGCCTTGCTCAGAGATGCCAAATTCCAAAGATTTCAAGAATTCCTGTGGGTTCAGCTTGTGCAACTCTCTGTTGACTACTTCGTTCAACAAAAGTGTTGGAGTACCATCCATCTTGGAGTGTTCAGCGATGAAAGCAGAGTATCCGTTCTTTGCAACAAAGAATTGGATTGGCTTGTCAAAGAATCTGTTTTCACCATTTCCGTGCCATGCAAAGTGAGCTCTGTCCTCGTAGGTAACCGGTTGTTCATCCTCCAAAGTGATGATAAAAGCGGACTTGTGAATATCAGTAATAGAGGCAACGTTAATTGGGGACTTGTTCAACTCCTGGTAGGCATGGAACCATTGGTCTCTTGGCAAAGTGGTCAATGCACCAACAGCTTTACCCTTTGGCAGTCCGTTGGCGATTCTCACAATATCAATCAATTGCTTGTGCACTTCGGAAGATGGCAATCTCTCCTGGCCCTTGTGGGTGTAGAGCTTGAAGAAGTGGTTGTTCTTGATAACAACAACGAATCCATTCTCCTCCAGGGAGTAGAAAACGTTAGAGTCCTGGCCCAACTCCTTTGGATAACGAGAGTTGTTGAACATGACCTGGAAGGACTTCATACAATATGGGGTACCACGGATAACCTCAGGTGGCAGGGTCTCATTCTTCAACAACTCGATGAAGTCGGTAACCTTCTCAATGATAGCAACGGTCTTGTACAGCTGGTTCTTACCGATTGAGCGCAACTCGTGTGGCAATGGCTTGTGGCCGTAGTAGTACGAGACGTATGGAACAACCGGGTCGTTGTACTGCAAGTAGGCATAATCATCCCAGTACTTAGACAACCAGTTTCTGGAAGTGGCCTGGAGCTCAGTCAGTCTCTCTTGGAGAGCTGGCGCCTGAGTCTTGAAGAAGTCGTCCACAAGTGCCTCGTGCTCCTTGTACTCCTGCTCAGAAGCAACAAATGGCTTTATGGACTTGAGGTAGCGCGCCCTAGTGGCCTCCAATGTTGGCACTGGCAGCGATGGTAGCTGGTCTTGAAACTTGTAAGTCTCACCTTTGAACTTTGGTGCATATGTTGAAAACTTTCTGCCCATTCTCTTAAACATTTCCCTGTGTAGTCTATCGATTAAGCGCGTTAAGTGTACCCCGGTGTGGAATAAGAGGAAGAACAAGATCCCTTTTATACAACAGATGGCCCATTGAAGTCACATTTTTGTGGGGATGAACGGAGAGCCTCGGGCGAAAACCATGTCCACGCGGGTGTTTGGATGTCTTGGGGGAAAGGCTCAAAGAGGAATGGCGTTACGACACATGGCTCCTTACCGCGGTTATGCCATCTGTGTGGGTCTCCTGGGCAACTGTGGATACCACTGGCCTTGGGACTGGGGTTTTCGCTCATGGCTCAGAGGTTCTCCATCAACGTCAAATGGATCGGTTATTGATACTGTGGGAAATGGCTGAGAGATGCCCGGTGATGGTCTTTTTCCAATGCGTTGTTGTAAACCACAAGGTAAGTACACACCCAGTATGGAGGGATTGAGGATACCGTGTGGCTAGGAGAGGAAAAAAGGGTTATTTCCTCAGGCCCCAGCTATCCGATCGTCCAGACTTGGGCAGAGAGAAAAAGCACACGATTTCACCCAGGGCCACACAGTTGTCCTTGGGGACGTTTGTCTTCCTCTGGTCAAATCCATGAGATCGAGGCTAAGACTCAGAATTACAAATTAAGCAGGTAACTGGTGAAGATCACGTCCAAGTGAGTTTTCGTTTCGGATAAATCACTCGTGTAAAGACGTTGGGGTAAAAAAGAAAGAAAAACATGATGGTTTGTTTAACCGACAGGTTTACCTGTTGTGTGTTTTTCATCCTTTGCGCTTTGTTGTTGGGGTTTCCAAAATTTTTGCTCCGCGACACTAGGTATTTTCTGTTACGGACACGTCGTGCCTTTTCCTTAGCTGTAGTTGCCGGGGCGTCAGATTTGACACAGGCCCAGTGCGAAACAACGGTAAATTTAGTGTGGTCCAGGGAAATGAACTCCTTGTGAGTGATATATGCGTTGTGGTAAGCTCTTCAACGAAGCAATCCGGGTGGGGACATCTCGCACCAAAGTGACTGCCCAATTGGTCTCAGGTGAATAACTTCTTATCAGTTCTAATTTCCAAAAGTTGTGCTTGAACGCCCCCCAGCACTTATTTAGAGGTGTTCGGGGTGCCTGAACACGCTAACCCTTTTCGTCAAGATTCCATGTTAAAAAGTACATCAACAAGAATTGGAGGCCGGTGTGTGGTGGAAGGGAAATTTGAATGGCACGACTTCCAATGAGTGAAACAAGGGGTAAGAGCCTCCAGGCTACAACGCTCCATCTCGACGGGGAGTACTGTGCACAACGTGTGATCGGTTATGGAGGTGATAGGGTCTGTAACTATGGTACATACACCGAAGCAGAAACGATCACAAGAGATTGACGATCACAAGCTGTTGAAGATGGTGTTACCGTTGTCTGCGTATTCAGTAGATCAGGCTAAGGCGCAAGTCTCGACATGGCCGCTATCACAGATGTCGATCAGACGGGCGCTTGCAATACACTGTCTGCTACAGCTTTTCGAGATACAGGCTGGCTACACCGTGAAGAAGGGCGACCTGTTTGACGACGTGAAGCTCTACTTTGAATCAAACTACAAGGTTGATATTTGCGGTAGTGCTGAGATGGGCAAGCTGGTGAAGTTGATCTTCAACGCTCCCACAAAGAGAGCGGGCAGCAAATCCGGGGCAAAGTACTGCTACAAGGACATCAAGATGAAGGACGATAAGGTTGCCTGGTTTGATACCAATAGGCCCAAGAAGGTGTCCTTTATCGATAATTCCGTCAGGTTCAAGGTGCTGATCCAACCATGTACCAATTGTGCACTTGACGATATGTTTGAGCAGTTCTTATACGACCAGAAGTTTGCCGTGTCGTCACTTGACACCAGCGACCATAGACTAAGGGCCGTATCGACAATGCTCGTTAAGAGCGATGTGTTGTTACATAACTTTATGAGCTCTGTTACAAGGGACGACATCCTCACAACTATGACACGCGACTGGAATAGTCTGGATATTATAACACTGCTGAAAGAAACTTCACATCTACCTACAAACGCAGTGACCCTAATCTCAACGTTCCCAACTGTGTTGGACTCAACGTCATATTCCCATTTCAGTACCTCCAAAAAGGACTTCTTGCAAAGGTACTATAAAATCCAATACGATCGGCAACGTGCCAACTCGAACAAGTTGAAAATGGTTCAATTCCTGGCTGAGTTGTTCTTCATTTGCAATGATACATCCTTATCAAACTTCATATTAAACTTCAAATACGTGGCAACAACGTTGCTGCGGCATTTATCAATGACTCAAAAGGCAAGTTTTGGATCCTACTGGATGCTCTACTGTTTTCTTGATGAATTCATTCAATTTTTGCTAGAATTTTACTGCTATAAAAAGAGCAACCATCTTGCCCTCACTGATCGCTAGTTTCGTGCTTTGATCTTTTGTTCCTCTTTTACCCCCAATCCTATGAACTCTTTGAATTAAAAATTGGGTAGTCACTCGGATCCAAGCCTTGCTCCTGTTCCTCTAAATGCACTGGTGTAACTGAAACCAGAACTCTTCCCACTTGAACCCTGCGGCTGGTTTGAGTTCATGTTGCCAAATCCACCAATACGGCGACCTTGAGCCTTCTCGTGACCTTTCACTCTTTGACGTGACGTGAAGAACTCAACAATACGCACAAACCAATATGGTGCCTTCAATGGGCCTTCATCGGTATGGTTTATCGTGTGGATGGTACCAACCCTTTGTGTCTGACCAGTTCTTGTAACGTCGACGCCCAGAGTAGAGCATATCCAGGCGTAGACTGGGCCGAGGGTCCTGCTCTCGAGGCACTGGTAGAAGTATGCAGCGCTGAACCCAGATAACGCAGAGAAGAAAGGCTCCTTCCCGAAAAGAAGGAAGGTGAATATCAGCATTGCCAATGGCAAGTATTCACCTTGAATCTTCACAAAGTACACGAGCACCTGGTTATATCTATTCTTACGTGACCAAGTATAAGTCAACGCTGAGACCAATGGTAGCAATAAACTTCCAGGAGGCATCACAACAGAGCAAAGTTGGATAAGTGGAATGATGAGGAACAAGTAGAAGCAGTAATCGCTAATGTTGAGGAAGAACTTTCCCTCCTCTAGTCCCTTTGAAAAGGAGTACAGGGCATACACATCCATCAACCCACTCAGCTGGCTCATGTTGGCAAGAAATAGTGCACTGACAGGTCTCCAGAATTCCCAGTCATCTGTGACCGCCTTCCATGATAGCAGAACTCGTTGAGGGGGTAAAAGGCCAAGTACACAAGACGATGAGACAACGATGGTGGACATCAACAGCAGTTTTGTAACTGGCGGGGTGCGTGCAAAGAAGCTGGAGGTGCGAGTCTTTCTGTTAGTTTGAGCATAGACTTGGATTACGAATGGTTTCAGTCACATACTTGGATATCTCAGACATTTTCCTGTAGAATGGAGCGATTTAAGATGAAGCACAACTCCAAGTACAGAAGAATCGACTAGTCGCCTCTAGGGTTCTTTCCTTTAGGGTGGCATCCCAGATCCGTTTTGACATGTTGGGTTGAGATCGCGAACTTGCTTACGTAAGCGTCACGTGATTGTTGAGTTGAAGGAAGCTATTCAATGGACAGCTTACAATTGGTGTGATTGAGAACTGTGAACAGGATGCTTCTCCTAAAGGTGATGATGTGTTCTCTGGAGAGTGTGGGTTGAGTATCCAGTGGAAACTTTGGGCTTTGGAGGGAGTGGAAGGTGTGTGGCTAAGATGGAAAATGTACGGAGAAGGAGTCAGAAGTACGATACTTCCTCTGAAGCTCCTGCCCTAGTATACCCCATCTGGAGATGGCTGTCATCGACGTCCAGCTCCAGGAATATGGAAAACGTGTTTGCCATAGCTGTGAACATTCTTTCTTAACTATCTGTTACAACCATCTACTGGCTCTTCTATCATATCCATTAGAGACCCACATAGCTGACAATTCGTGAGGCAAAGACTCTAAATCACCAAACGTTTCAGCGGATTGAACTCCTCCCGAGTTCTCTAAGAGCACTAAGGATAAACCACGGGGCTATGGGCCATAGCCTCACGATCATTGAGCATTTGTGAGTGACGCTGTAGATGCGTGAGCGCGGTAGTGCTTATGCACAGTTTGTGTCAATTTTGTTTGTCTGTCGAGCTGGCAAAGACCCACGTTTTTCAACTTATTCGATCACAACGGCAGTTCCATCACAACATGGACTGATTCCAAAGCAGGCTTGTTTCTTGTTTCAAAGGAATTGGTACCGGCTTGTTGTGTACCGCTAATCAGTACAGCAACTTTATGTGACATTGGACATCCATCATGTTCGGCACAGTAAATTTTGGAATTTGCCAATTGCATGAGTGTAGCACGTTTCTGTCAGACTCCGGTGCCAAACTTTACATACATCTAATAAACCCAGACGAAAAGGTTGGATAAGGGCACAAGACCTTCAAGGATGCCATGTAAGGCACTAGGCGCATCATGCATTCAATTTTGCAATGGAATTATCTCGTCGTCCGTCTGAGGTTATTGATACACTTAGTTGAACAAGGCCTGTAGACCTGTGAGTTGTAATTTCGAGGAAACATGCATTCTGGAGCCTTGATGCTCACTCGGTAACCGGCTTCTAAGGCTACAGATTAGGTTATACATTCTTGCAGAAGAGTTCCAGAGCGCTGATCACTCGTCGCAGAAAGCTTTGTTCCAATTCAAAGATTTTCATCGATCTGGAAGTTATAAAGTACAGGGGTTGGACGTTTGATGAGCGCGCTGTACAACTTTAGATCTTGGACATTGCATGCTACATACCCCGATTGAACTATTGTAGTTGCAACCACGTATGGCGAGTTTCCAATTGAATAAAACCTTGTAGAAATCACACATGTAGTCACTAGCGTAGATTCACACTAGTGTACAGGATTGGTTAATTTGAAGAGGCCCGAAGGGCTATTCAGAAATGCAACACTCACGTGCATACTCACAAGATAGTTACATTCGGTCTACGGTAACGGTACACAGCGATGTCCATTTCTCTAAGGAGCATTTGCCGGACATTGACCCTCATGCTTGCGCTTAGATTGCCGTGTAGCTCGGAACTAAACGTACACATTCTCCTAACGGGCATGGCACTTTCTATGAAGTTTGCATTAAATCCCCGTCAATTGATGTATCCAATGTCGCACGTGGATCACACTCATTAGATGCTGCGCATGGACGATTTTACATTGATCTCCTACCTCTCTGGAAAAAAATAACTGAGGGCACATCACTTCTCTCTCGAGACATAGCCGGCCGTTATCACAACTAATACCATCGCCATAGCATGCGACGATTCAACTCCACAGCACCAACGTATCCAAGACACTCTAAACTACACAGCACATCGACGCTGCAGTGGCCAGCACTCGAATCTTCCGCTCCCAGGGTGTTACGTCACAGACTGAACTCGCTATAGCTGCGTAGCCACACGCATTTGCTCTAACTTATTAAACTCAACCATGCCTCGACTAAGGCGTTGATTAGGTTTTCTCTGGAAAAGTCGGGCTTACGCTAAGACGCTCCGAAACAACACGACGGTGCCAATGACCTTGGCGAGTGTCCATATTGCGGACATGGTCATTCGGTACAATACGCCATCTCACACGAGCATTAATCAAATGAACACATAATAGACTGACCTTGAGGCTCAACGCCCACCCTTGTTTGCTTAATTCCATAGTGTTCTCCCACTAGTGCGGAGTTACTCGGTCTTCCCCCTCAAACCCTCTCCGTCAGTCGAACAATTAAATCACAATGACCTATTCCACTCAGGCCCACCAGAGCCCAACGTTTGGCCCTTAAAGCCCCCTGTGAAGGGCAGAAACGCCTAGAGACAGCCGGCGAATGGCTACTTGAAGCCTTTGCAGATGTATTCACTGGCAACGAGGATTGAAACTTGCACGTGTTATCAGCTTCTCAGCCAATGGGCCTTCCACTTTCGGTAAACGTTTTCATGTGAATTTTTAACTTTGGCGCGCGTGTCCATGCGTACTGCCAAAGGAAGAAAAGCAGCTGCATCCCATAACGCAAATCCTGCTCCCGTGGCAATCGCCTAACGATAGGTAAAGCCCTCTGTGTGTTTCTCTTCGAATGAGTGATCGTCCGAACATGTTTCTTGTCGCTCTGTCCGCCCTATAAATATCCCGTCAAATCCTTCCCAGAGATGGACAGACGCTGAGGTTGGCGAGGTGGTGTACCAAAAGCGGAAAAACCTCATCGCGCTTGACGTTTCCAGAACCTTCCATTATGCCCGTTGATCATTCCGTGACAAGAGACTTGCCAAAGAGTCCTAAGGACTTTGTTGTTGGCTGGGTGCCAAGAGCGAAGAAGGAAATCACGTTGAACAAGAGTGACAGAGACCTACTCGAGTCACAAGCGGAGTACGAGGCTCGTCTTGCTGAGGCAAACAAGCTTGGGAAGTTCAAGAAGTATCTGCCAATCATCACAACAGGGTCTGGTCTCTTTTCAGATGGTTACGTGAATAACTCCATTGGTACCGTCACCACATGTCTGTCCATCCTTTATCCAAAGGAGTACAAAGAGTCAAATGCCATCAGAAACGTCACTTCCATCGCTTTCGTCGGTACCGTTGTTGGTATGATCATCTTTGGCTACGTTGCTGACTACCACTCAAGAAGAGCAGCCATGCTATGGGGTACCATCATCCTCATCATCATGACCATCCTAACCTCTGGTGTCTGGGGGAAGAACAGCTCCGACATCCACGGTATGCTCACTGCACTAACTGTTTACAGATTCTTCTTGGGTATCGGTATCGGCTCTGAGTATCCAGCTGGCTCCACTGCCTGTGCTGAGGCATCTGCCATGTTGCCGCCAGGGAAGAGAAACAGATGGTTTGTCTGGTTTACAAACTTCATGATCGACTCTGGTTTCGTGATCTCTGCCTTCGTGCCAATGGTGCTGCTGTGGATCTGTACGCC